ACAGAAAAGTACAAACGTTAGAAGTGCAAACATGTAATCGTAAGCAAACCTTTTCTTGTGTGTGCAAACCGGAGTTCTCTTTACTTAAATAAAAACGGGAACGTTCGAAACATGGGTTTGGAGAGGTATGCTGGGCTAAAAGATTAAGATATTCGAAATTTAAAACTCCGTAGGAAAGGAAGAGTATTTTTGACTACCAAGCTATGATAGCGTACTATCTTTGAAAAATCGCTGCTTTTTTGGAATTCCTAAAGGAAAACTTTTGCTCAATTTACCAAAAGACAGGAGAATATTGCTAGAACTTTAAAGTTTGGATACTTTTCTTTTCTCTTCAACTATGACTGAACGAAATATCTTTAGAATCAAAAAAGACCGTTCAATTGTGCCCAAAATTGTAATATAAAGCGCCCGTTCTAGTATAAGGCTGTTATTGTTATAGCGATTCCTGGTTAGTTGCCAAAGTTTGCTGTTTAACTTACTCAACATATGCTGATCCTACGGTAGAATATCATCTCATTGATTTATGAATTTCTCATCTTTGTGCGACTTGAAAGTGCTAGTAATAGTTCGCAATGCTTTAAGAACATTCTGAATAGAATTGTGGTTTATAAATATGGTTATCAGCAAACAGCACCAGTAGATCATCAAGGATTATGCAAAGACCTTTTTGCGCTGCGAGGATTGAACTTCGTCCTTTACACAAAATTTATATAAAACTATAAAAAGTTAGTCAAGTCAGCCGTGCGTGGACGCAAACAGCAGTAAGAAATTTTTTGGATACTTTGACTCTAAGTCAAATGGGGAAATGATATCTGAGTCTTGTAATTCAGAGTTCACCGCTTTAATTGCGGAGCTTTTGCAGTGTTTTCTTCCACAATATCCCAACTGTTATGTAGATCCAGCATTAGAGAACTCTAATTACTTAACAGACTTAAAGCTCGTTGTAAAGCCTAGTTTTGAGTTTTCGCGGCAGCACCTCATATGCGAGCAGTACTGAGAAGCGCGCTTACCTAACACGATCAAACGATTTAGTTGACAAACGTGCTCTATCACTAGAATTGCCCAGAAACGTTTCTGCAAGGGCTTTATAGGTGATCAGATAACACGATCAAACGATTTATTTGACAAACGTGCTCTATCACTAGAATTGCCCAGAAATGTTTCTACAAGGGCTTTATAGGTGACCATGAACCATTTTATACGTATTCTAAGGAAGTTTTGAAAGGCATAAAAGGGCTACAATAATTCACTAGCTCATAGAGATCTAACATCTTATAATTTTCATGATACCGGCGCTGAATATGTTCCTTCTTCAATCGCGAGAAAATCAAAATTTTAACAGCGATATATAGCATTTGAAAGAAGGACTTTTGCTCTACAAACTTTGCTATTCATCTTACTAGACTTCAGTCGATTTAGAATATTAAGAAAGAAGAGGCACTTTCCTACTGGCAAATTGAAGACTCTGATTTTGCTGGAGTTTCACCTGGTGAGGTTATTCGACCTGCTGAGAAAATCAGCGTCTCGCA